GTGTAAATGTACCACATCTCTTTTATCCACCATCTACTGATGGGCACTTGGGCTGTTTCCAGATCTTAGCTATTGCAGATTGTGCTGCTATGAACATAGAGGTACACACATTCTTTCTGATTGGTACTTCAGGTTTCTTAGGATATATTCCTAGAAGAGGGATCACTGGATCAAATAGCAGATCCACATTTAATTTTTTAAGGAAATTCCATACTATTTTCCATAATGGCTGCACCAGTCTACATTCCCACCACCAGCAGTGCACTAGGGTTCCCTTTTCTCCACATCCTCACCAGCACTTGTCATTTGTTAGTTTGTTAATGGTAGCCATTCTAACAGGTGTGAGATGGTACCTCATTGTCGTTTTGATTTGCATCTCTTGGATGATTAGGGACTTTGAGCATTTTTTCATATGTCTCTTGGCCATCTGTATGTCCTTTTTGGAGAAGTGTCTGTTTAGGTCCTTTGCCCATTTTTTAGTTGGATTGTTTGTCTTCATTTTGTTAAGTTGTATGAGTTCCTTATATATTTTGGATATTAATCCTTTATCAGATGTATCACTGCCAAATATGTTCTCCCATTCAGTGGGTTCTCTTTTCGTTTTGTTGATAGTTTCTTTTGCTGTGCTATATTTACTAAAAGCCACATTTTTATTTTTTTTTAACTGATTTGAAAGAGAGAGGAAGAGAGAGAAAAAGAGAAGCATCAATGTGAGAGAGAAACATCGACTGGCTGCCTCCTGTATGCTCCCCGACTGGGGATAGAACCCACAACCTAGGTATGTGCCCTGACCAGGAATCAAACCTGCAATCCTTTGGTGTATGGGACAACGCTCCAACCAACCAAGCCATCTGGCCAGGGACCAAAAGGTACTTTTTGAAGTCATCTAAGTTTTTACCTATCATCAATGCATTCGTTCATTCATTGAAGAAGCTTTGATAGAGCATCTATCATGTGCCAAGCAAGCACCATTCAGGCACTAGAAAATGCAACAACGAATAAGACAGAAAATGTCTAGCCCCCAGGAAGTTTACAGTCTAGTAGTGAAGACAGAAATAAATGCTTAAACAAATCCATCCTATATAATAAAGAGGTAATATGCAAATTGACCCTCACGCCCTTACAAGATGGCTGCCTACAACCAGGTCAGCAGGGGAGTTAGTGAGGGACGACCAAATGACTGAACAAGCAGGCTGCGTGGGGTGACCAGGCCAGTGGGGGGGTTAGTGAGGGATGACTAAATGACTGAACAGCAGGCTGTATGGGGCGACCAGGCCAGTGGGGGGGGGCAGTTGGGGTGAACAGGCTGGCAGGGGGTCAGTGA